TAGAGAGATGAATGTTGTCTTGTCTTTACAAGCAACTTTTCTCAGTCTGTCGGTCCAAAGATGCCTTAATAGATGTCTCTTAACATACTCGAACATAAAATCAATAATTAGCTGAAATCAAAATAAAATCAAGATAATAAAAATCATCTTCCATTAAAATTAAATGCTATTATAATCTTGATTAAATTAATAAAATTTCTGCAGAAAGCACAGTCACAAACAAATTGCTCAGTTGCCTTTTATGATTTATTGTACCGTATTTTCACGACTATAAGGCGCACTTAAACGTCTTTTTTTTCCCTCAAAATGTGCGGTGCGCCCTTTGGTGCGGTGCGCCTTATGTGTGTTGTAACTGCGACTTTTGAGACCACCTCATTGAGGAGATGATGAAAGAGTGGCTGAATGTAAGGAGACCAGATGTTTTTTTTTTCACTCATCACCATCGCTGTTAATATGTGACTCCATGCGTGCCCATCTCACAGCTGATGTGAAAAACATGGGGAAACAAATTAACGCTGTGCTCGCTGTTCAACCGCTCGACATCGGTGTGAACCGGACCCAGCAGGTGCAGCAGAAGCAGCGAGTTTACATGCAAAGTCAATGGTTGACGCGCGTATAGGCGCAGCAAAAGGTCCCGCAGCCTTTAAGCATCTGACGCACCGCCAACGCGCTGCTGCTGCTCGAGATGGAAAAATTGAAGTTTTGCTGCTGGACGCGCCGCATCAACCAACCAGAGAAGCTGATCTGGGAGCTGACAGCGAGACAGACACAGCGCTCTGATGACATATGATATTAACGCAAAGAAAAGGGCTGGATGGATGAGGAGATGATGAAAGCGTGGCTGAGGGAGGTGTATGTGAGGAGAACAGGTGTTTTTTTCCACGCATCACCATCGCAGTTAATCTGTGACTCCATACGTGCCCATCTCACAGCTGATGAGAAAAACATGGTGAATCAAATGAACGCTGTGCTCGCCGTTATCTCGGGGGGTCTGACAAAGGAACTTCAACCGCTCGACATCGGTGTGAAGCGGCCGTTCAAAGTAAGGCTGCGAGCGGCGTGGGAGCGATGGATGACAAATTCCGTCGGCAGGTTTCAGGATTTTAAGTTAATTTAGGAGTGATCACAGCGCTGTGTCATCTGCGATGTGTCTGTCTCACGGCCAGCACCCAGGTTTGATTAATACTTTGTAATAAATACATAAATAAAGCACAGTCATACTCAGTTTTGCCCCCGCTGTATTTTTAAATACGCAGTAGAGGTATTTAAAGGTAGTAGAGGACATGTACCTGTATATAAAAAACGCGCCCTATAGTCCGGTGCGCCTTATGTGTGTGTTAAATACAGAAATGGGACACATAACTGAGAGTGCGCCTTTTAGTACGGTGCGCCTTATGGTCGTGAAAATACGGTAATTTGAAAATAATCGTCTGAGATTTAAAGCCCAACCATGGCTGGAAGTCAAACTTCTAATAAGTTAACACATTTGAAGGTAGAACTTGTGTAATAATATATCAAGGAATAGCAATGATTTAACATTGCTGAGTTAGGTTCCTCTTGGAATCCCATTTACAATCACTGGCCCTTGCCCAGCTTTTCTCAGCAAGAGTAAAAATTTTTCTCAGAAACTGCAGACTCAAAGGTGATGGCATTAGATTTGTGGAGAAAAATGCATATATAGAGTTACATGGTTGTCACAATTAAATTATCTGATTTTTAGAAAAAACTATTCTCTGACTGAATTGAGATCACTCAGGCTGTAAATTAGAAATTTTCTCATTTTCTGCTGCAAATCAGAAGTATTGAGAAATATTTCCAGAACAAATAAACTTAGTGTTAACACTTTTTAAACAACATATATGTGACTGTAAGTGTATTACTGAGTTTCATATTATTTTGCCATATCAACCCTTTGAGCCCTGGAATCCTTCTTTTTCTCTCCTTTTTTGTGTTCCTGGTCCACTGTCAGATTCCAAAACAGTCAGGGACACTTTTCATTTTGCAACAGTTTAGTGTTGCAAAATCCTATTTTGAGTAAAAGTCCTGAAACATTTCTTATTTTGTTATAATGAAAATGTAAAACATTGTGTACAAATGATATCAACGTCCACAATTTGTTGTGCCTATGGTGAAAATGCAAAAAAGCATAACTTCTTGGTACATTCACTCAACTTTATTGCATATAATAAACAAATCCCAATTATAAAGAATTCTACTTTTAATAAATTGCATGATTTCTCATAAACTCCTAAAAAAGAAATTAAGCTGAACAATGTCCAATATTTATACTTAACTATTTACCCTAATGGTCTAATCAACAAATGCTCAAAATAAGAGGCACTAGTTTTCATGTGCAGCTTTTTTTTCATAGTACATACAATAAGTGGGTGTGATCAAACATTCCTTTTAAAATTTGGTTTCATTGTATTCAGATTTTCTGCTGTCCCGCTGCATTAATATGTGGCAGCCCACTGATGTTCTCTCCCTATTTATATAATTCCACTATTGTTATTGATGGTCCACATATGTTTACATACAAACACAATCTCTCTGCATCCATCTGGCATTGTACCAAATCCCACTTTGTGGCAACAATGACAGTAGAAAATTGCTCAAGTTGAGTTCCAGATTTTGACAATCACTTTGCAAGTGGTTAATGTTTAGATTTGCACCCTTGAATTTGCTCAATTTGGTCAATGGAATATGATCTGCTTATTGACCAAGGCACATATGCAGACAATGTAGCACATCCTGTCTGCTAAATGGCCATTGCAAATCATTTTACACCTTCTTTAAAGATCTACTCTGCACATCCAAACATGTTTGGACCTTTGAAGACATGCAAACCTTCTGAACATCAGGCCCTTAGTCTCTCCCCAAAATGGGAAAGACATGTAAATCATTCATTCAAGCAGGGTGGTTGTTTGCTAATCGTTTTAATAAAAGTTTGATAAAGGCTGCTCACTTCAACTTACTCATATCTCTATTGTTTGAAACAACAATTGATTGAAATAAGGTAGAGTATAGAAAACATACTGGATATGAGCACAACAAATATGTGATGATAGTAAAAGAAGCAAAAATAATGACTAAGAAAAGAATCTTTACTAAGGCCTTTTATAATGTTTTATACAAGCATTTCACTTGAGAAGTAAAGAATATGTTGATACTATTTCTTTTGGTTAAATAAATATATAAGTAGTTACATGACCTTTTATAAGTTGATATTCTTATTAGATGTCTATGTTCAGGGATTTCAATCTTTTATGGAAATATCTGACCCAATGCCTTTACTATGCTATGGATATGGGATACAAGCTGATTAAGTCCTTTTCTAAATTACAAATTGTAGCAAGTTTAGTAAAAGTGATGAGAGATTAAATATTATTACTTCTTTTTCCTATTGACCTTCTCAGTTTGTATCCATTTTATTCATGTCTCAGCTTTCTGTGCTTTCCTTTAGATATCTTCAAATGGTCAACGCAGCACATATCTAGATGTGACAATTAATCAGTTTTTATTTTTAAAAGCTTGATGGCCAGAAGATTGATTTATTCTTCTCATTCACTATTTCTCTGTAGTAGGATAACCTCCTTAGCTTGCAGTTTTACACAGAGCACTAAAAGGTTGAGACAGAAAACCACTGAGAAACAAATCAAGTTAAGTGCTGTGAATTGTACCTGACTTGAATTTTAACTTAGGCCTGCAGTCCTGGGAACAGTGGTGAGTTAAACCTCTTCCCTCAGCCCGCCTTCCCCCATCTCTTACTCTTCACTTTACTGTCATGAGTCCAAATATATGGATGTGTAAAAATCATCTTTTAGAGCCAATTGCTGTTATTGCTTTATTGAGATGCAGGGATTTTTCAAGTCGAATGCTAAATAAAGTGATCTTACTTTTGGTGAGTTAATATGAGTGTGTGCATCTACTTTTCATATTAACCAGCAAAGTGAGGTCATTTTGGGAAGGTGAGGAAAACGACTGGTCCCCCACTTTTGCATGCTGTTCTTAGGTGAGGGGTTGGGTTTACAACAAATGTGTAAATTGGTTTTGGATCGGGATCAATCAAGGTATCTACCAGTAATATGTGGCGCTAAGGTAGGGCTCTGGGTTGGGATACAGAAATTAATTCAAAACTGAATGAATGTCAAAGCAAAGTCCTCATGAAGGTAGAAAAACATGGATGTGTGCATGTTTGATGGCAAATTCAAATGTCCGGGCTGACAGGTGTATGTCTATGTTTAGATACAACCATTATACATGTTTTCTTTTTTAGAATTCAATAGGAAGGTATTATATTCATGATAAAAGCTAAAAAAAAAGGGATATATCATTAATAATAAGTCCCACCAAACAGGTGTTTGGTTTATTTGGAAGCTTAATTTTGGCTAATGGAATAGCAGGTTATCAGTAGGTTAACGTTTATCTGCTATATTCACTCATATGTCTGATCAACTTTGGTTCCATATAGCCTGGAAAATTGTTTGTAGACTTTTGAACCCTTTCTTTTAAACATTTTAATGGTATTAGCAGGTGGGGTCACAGGAATATACTGTAATGCTGCTTGGTAACTCTGGACTCCTCAGACATTCCTTGTCTTCTCCGTTTCTTGTCAATGTACAGTTTTGTCCACAGAACTATACCAATCGATTCAGCCCAATATTTGCTATCTTTAAACTGATAGACTATTAAATGGGTTTATACACTTAAAGCATTAATCTAATTAATAAAGGTCTTTATTGAAAACCTTGTTTTTTATGCATTTTAAAACAGATCATTTGACTTGGATTACTCAAGATGCTTCAATTTATAATACAGGAGAAGCAGACAGTATGAAATAAAATCAGACAAGACAGCTTACTTTGACCATAATATTTGCGTTCTAACAAATCTTTTGCCAAATTTAAAAATAAATCTGTTAATACAGAGCATTTTGCATGATCCTGATCTTTGTCTTTGTCTGGTGCTTCATTTTTTCCCTTATTTGTTTTTTTTGGCAGGCGCAAATACAAGAAGACGTCCCAGAGGTAAGGTCTCCTACTGGGATCTACAGTTTCTCCCATTCGCATCCTTCGCCCCTGATTACTTCTTCCTGTTCATCGCCTTGGCCCAATTGTTCTCTTTTTGATCCTTTATTATATACATTTCCTTTTACCACCTGCATTCCCAGATCTGCCAGATCATTCCCAGATGAGCTACTACTATCATATTGTATTATTTAATCATTAATTATAGGTTCATTTCCTGTCACACACTTTTTAGCCATGTTGCATAAGTGCAGTTTAATAAAAGTGTTTATTATTGTTGCTCTGATTATTATTGTTGCCTCCATCCATCAGCTTTCACTCCCAGAGCGGCTCAGCTGCTGTCAGCTTGCAGCTGAAAGAGTAAAGCACACCTTGTCATGAGAATAAATTGGCAACTACGTTTTCTTTCTCTCTCTGAGTTCCTCATTTTGATGGGTCAGCTTTTTGTTATTGCCAGATAAGTAGCGCCCTAAAGCTTGATATTATGGTGACATGGTTTACTGTATAAACAACCCGTAGCACTTGAAAGGTTGATGAATGATGAGTGAAGATATTATCGCCCTCATTATAAAACTTTCATTTATTGTGTTCTGTTAGAGATACTCTGGGGAAATCAACTCCCATTAAGAAGGAATGGGAGTTGATTTATTTACAAGGGTGAAAGTAGGAATCAATTAATGATAAAAGAGCAGCGGAGATTTAAGATAATTTTCAAAATGTTTTTCTTTATAAAAAAGTTGTTAGATATTTATATTTAATATCATTTTAACAGATAACATGTATATGACCATATTATAAAACTTTGCTATTGATGTTAAAAATGTAAAAACCAGCAGAAAGGAAAAAGGCAATAAAAAAAAAATCACTAATGGGTTAAGAGTGATTTTATAAACCTTACATTTACCTGTAACCCTAAAAACGTTGTATTTCATCTTGTTTCACTAATTGTTGTTTTTTGGGGGGTGTAAAATTAGGATTTAATATAAAAGATCAAGACAATGCACTGCATAGATGTGGCATCAAACACTGTAATACCTTGTTTTCAATACTTTTTTTTTTTTTTTTTACAAATAAACATCTACATTTGTACTTAGTCCTCTTTAACCTATTTAAATCCAGTGCAGCTGATGGCCTTAAACATTCAGTCAAATCATGGGTACAACAGCTATAAGAATGGCAAGATTATTTGGCAAACCAAAGTGAATTAAGAGAATGTCAAAAACCAAGGAACAATGCAGATTGAGCTAAAATAATGAAGAAGTTAAAGGACTGCTGTGGCAAACTGTATTATGCAACTATAAAAGAGTTTGCTATTAATTAAATAAAAATTAAAAACCTACTAAGATATGACCACATTAGCCTCAATTACCAGGCCATGCATTATTCAGGTACAAAAAGACAACAATTGTAATAATTGTTGTTGCAGAGCTGCAGAGATCCACATCTTAGGTGGTAGAATCTGCAATTATAACTTGTACTCCAAAGAGATAATCTAGAATAGACTTCTATTGTGAAATATAGTAGTTCCAATTCATGCGATAGGAAACTTTTAACAAGGACATACAAGTTGGTCATTACTCATGGAAACATGGCTGATGCAGAGAAAAGTCAGTAAAGGCTGCAAAAGACAGGTTGATTTTAAAATTTCAGCAGTATAATGACCCTTAATAAAAAGCTAAAGTTTAAATGAAATGTCTTGGATCAAAAGATCCAGTCTTTCTTTGAAAGAACATTGGCACCATCGGAAAATTTGAAACAAGTCCATCAAATAGAGCTCAGATCAACAACTACTTTGTCAAAGGATGCCTCTAATATGGTTTCGTGCCTTTTTTCATGCAGACTGTGAGATTGCCACACAGTCAGAGTAATTGAACTGAACCCTCCTCATGCTACTTATTGAAACAGTGTGAGGTCGTTCAGAGCATTACAGAAGCAGCTGTTGGGAACCAGTTTGCTCTTCCTGTCACAGTCTCTTTGTGTCACTCGCTCTCTTTAGTGGGCGGGGGAGTTCTTTCTGCAGAGGAGCTGGGTGATTGGCAGCTCCATATGAGTCTGTGTAATTACGGCAGGGCTAATTGGCAGAGAGGAACACTGGGACATTGTCATTACTGACACACCAGGACAGCCCTTCACACATGCAGATGGAGGTAGAGATGGCCCTTTTCACAGGGGGAGGCATGGAGCAATGGGAGAACACTGTTTCTGTGAGGATGTCCTTGTGTTTCTGTAGAACGAGGGGTTTGCAGGGGATGGATGTAAGGCTATATGGCATGTGAATACTATGAAGGTATATTTATGTTTACTGAAAGACTTTTGTTTTTGGCCGCAAATGGGTTTTCTGCAATGTAGGTTTCTATTTTTGTGTCAAATGCTTTCGTTCATCGTTCTTCTTTTCTTAAGACATTGAACGTTTTTTTTTTTTTTTTTTACCTTGTCATAATTGTGCTAGATCATGACCTCTGGAAAGGTTCCTCTAGCTCTATAAAAAAGGAACAAGGAAGACTAAAGCTATCTTTGCTGACCAAACTGTGATAATATTTTATTGTCATATATAGCAAATATAAAAACAAAAAGTGTAATACAATATAAGTGTTAATCTATGGTTGCACATCATACTATAGGACAGGTTCATTCAGTCACATGTTTATTCATTGGTTATTAAGGCAGATAGATCTATGAGAAATAATAGCAGTTAACGTTTTAAAATGTAGTACAGTGTTTGGTCTGCAATGCTCACTTTAAATTGGACCAATTTCCGATGCATGTTTGAGTCACGCAGAGATTCCCTCTGTCACTAGTCATGCTCATAACCTTTATGGACACATTTCTAGGCACAGCCAAGGGCCCAAAGAGGTCTAGTTTGGGGATCAGTGGATTTTGTTGCTTTTTGTGGTTGACGTGATTCTGCTGACTCCCTCCTGCCAAAACCTGCAGCACATAATGGAGTGATTCACAGCATATTTTGAAGTAGTGGAGATAAGAATCTTTAAAGTCTAAGGCCATAGTACTCGACCAAACAAAAGATTGCTTGCCCTTTCACGTCGAAGGATAGTTTCTGTCTAAAATGGAGTTCAAGGATCTACAACTCTGTTTATTTGTGAGGGAAGAATGGAGCGGAAAATTCATTCATTTTCATGCACTTACATGTCACACCAGAAGGGCTGCTTTCCCCATAATGTTTGTTGTGTCTCTGGCAGCACACATGGATGGCATACAATGATGCAAGGCAAGCTGGCCAGAGAAAACCATTTAATAGTAAATGAATAGTAAATCACCCAATGTGCACACATCAAACATGAGTCTATTAGTGTGTCATGAAATAGCCTTCCTGACTGCTATTATAGGGAATTATAAAAATGCAGTTGGTGTCACAATCTTAATTACCTTAACTTAATAAGCTCAAAAAGAGAATGTAGAACATCTTATTTTATTCTGATTGTAGACTTTATCTATACTTTTCTTTGCAATCTTTGCACGTCAGTGAACGTCCGGCAAAGATTGAGCCCCGAACAAGGTCATCTCCTCCTTCTTATACCCCATGAGTCCATGTGTTGCATCAGGTGGATGCTTAGCTGTCCGTATCAGAAACTGAATCCATGCCCTGACCTTGTGAAGGAAGGCCTTCTACTATGTCTAATCTGGCTAACAGAGTAACAGTGCACATGATTTTTAAAGAATAAACCAAACATTGCCCAGCTGCAAAAACAAATCGCCCCTTTACGATAATAAAAATTGATATTTTCTTGAAAACCCCATGTGATTCATTGAGTTTAAATAAGATATGCAAAAAGTAACAAATAATTTTTATAGGATGTGAGAAAATGTGACCCATGTGATCTGTGGTCTTTTGGAGTATTTGTGGATAAGCTTTGAACACATTTCTTTTCCAAATTCCCATAGCTCATTCCGATGAGGTGACAAGCATCAGTGGATATTGGTTTCTTACCACAGGTTCTCCATTATAGTGCTATTGTATCATTTAAGGTTATTGTGCTGAATAACCCATTCTGCCCCATTCTTAAGTCTTGTAGCCTCCATGTTTTTTTTTCTTCAGATTGTCCGGTATTCACTATGCACTCCTTATACATTTACTTTCTGTGTGCATTGCTGATCTAGCAAATTCTTCAGCCTTGTTCCTTTTCAACTTAGAGTTGAAAAGACTGATTATACTTATAAATTTTATTTTGTCTCCATGACAGGAGTATTAGAGACAGCCTGTGTGTTTGGCCGTTATTTTTTTAGTATGAGCTATTTGTTTTCATCGAGATGCTGAGTCAGTTCAGAACACTTAATTAAAAAAACTTTAAACTTTATTTTATTACTTTATTTTTCCTCTTATTCTAAAATAACATAATTCTTCTAAGAACCACTTACTATCTTCCTGATATTTAAGGATTTTCTTCTTTTACCAAGCAATTTCCAAATAAGTTTATTGAACCAAAAAAGCACATAGACTTAGAAAAACTTTATTTTCATTTTGTATGCACAGAGTGTATACAAAGCAAAATTTTATTGCATACAGCTTCCAATAGTGTATTGATATTGCAGTTGGAGTAAGATAAAAAAAAAAAAAAGATAAAGAAAAAAAGATAAGGAAATTATTTTTGAATTGAATTTGATACTGGAAATGAAATGATGAACCAAATAAACCTTTTTTTTTGTTTGATTGTTTTTTTTTTTTTTAAATAAACATGTATATTTGCATCAACTTTTTGGGGGAATAACTTTAATGCTAAAAAATCAAAGGTGCCAGAAACATTGTTGATAACTGCATTTTCTAAACTATTATATTGATACAAGAACTCCAGGTGTCGTCATGTTGTTCTCTAACAAGGTCTAATTTACCTGGGAGGATGTTTCAGTGAGGGGAGTTGGTCCTTCAAGCTACAGGACACATTGAATGGCCACAGGTGTGCAAAAAAAAAAGCTGCTGGGGTCATCAGAGCTGGTTTAGATGCTAAAGGAGCAGAAGGGCTGGGTTTAAAAGGTGGTGGCTATGC